TTTGCCTTGTATCTCATGGATGCAAGAAGATGACAACATAATCCCAGTTTGTACTCGACCATGTTTTTTTGAGCTTTTGGAGGAGGCTTTGCCTTAACCAAATTAATTTAGTACCGAATAATCTGAATAAAATCTTGGATTCAGTATAAGACGACAATGCTTTAAAATTTTCTGTGACTCGATGTGACCCTTTTGTTCTTCCGGAGGATATTTATCATCCTGCTTTGGAGAAAACCTTTGAAATCATAGATAGTTACAGGGCTAATATTGAATCATCCCCTCCTGGCTCGTGTTCCCGTTTAAACTTTGTGAAAGCTAGTTTCAAAAAGTTAATTCACATGCTATCAAAAACTATTTGGCCAGACTACAATTATAGTTCGTGGAATAAATGTTCTTTAGTTTAATAATAAGTACAGTTTTAAAATTATTTGAAAATTTTGTACCCAAATGCTTTATCCAAATGTACCGCTTTATGGTTCACGAAGGAAATAAATCTAAAAAAAACCGAAAGTCTCGCGATTTTTAACTGTATAAGAAAACTGTCTTACATTTAGACTACATGAAATGCTCTAAGTGGCGTCGCAAGTAATTTGAACTTAACAAAAAATGTTACAACGCTTACTTATCTAAGGTTAGAAAGAACACTGTATGTAATCCGAAAATCTTAGAGCATGTACCTATGTTAATTAAGTTGTAAAAATGGAAACTAAACTTGAATTTATTTTGCATATTAATTCTACTGTGTGGGAAGCTAAATACGCCCTTGCTTTTATAAAGCGATGGTCAAAATAATTTAAAGACCCTTACATTACCAAAATACTTTTTTCGTCATTAGTGCTGCCAATATTGGAGTACGGCTCACTGGTGTGTAATCCAAATTATAATATCCACTCTGACAAAATTGAGTCCGTTTAAAAATAGTTTTTGTTGTTTGCCTTGCGTCACTTCCACTGGGATTCTAGCCAAAATATTCCACCTTATACTAGCCGCCTAAAACTTATAAATCTACCTATCTACCTTCATAGCCGTAGAGTAATGCTAGGGGTTTTCTTTTTAGTAAAACTTCCAAATGGACTGATTTGTAATTCATTTTTTTAGGTGAAGAAATTTAAGTGTCCCTAACCAATTATCAAGACAGTTAAGATCATTATTTTTAAAGTCTGGCAAAATAAATTTTGAATTATAATATATGAACCATTTCGCCGTATATGTGAGGGTTTCAATTGTTATTCTCGCACATTTCATGTAACAGACTCACTTCTCATAATGAAAACTGGAGCTACTTGAAGTTCGGTAAATAGCTGTCTTTTTACTTAGATTAACAGGAAGACACTACTTCTCATCGGGAGGTGGACCAGAGACTGAACTATTAAAAACATCTAGAACCATGAACTATTTACTTGAAATTCAGCGTTTTACTTAGAATAACAGGAATACATTTATTCTCTTCGGAAGGTGGACCATACGCTGAACTTTTCAAAAAATCTTATTTATAATTCTATTCACTTGAAAAGGCGGCCTTTTGCTCAGATCAACAGGAAGACAACATATCTTTGCTGAAAGTGCACCATGGACAGACCTATAAGAAAAAAGTTTATTTGTAGCTGGGTTTACTTGAAATTCAGTACATAGGTAGCCTTCTACTTAGATTAACAGGAACACTATTCTTCTTTTCAAAAAGCCGCACTACAATACACGAAAATATAAAACTTAGCCTAGCCAACTCAGTCTTAATGTTTTTCCAACAAATGTAGGGACCTGCAGTTTATACTAAGCTGCCTCCGAACGGCTGATGGTTTTTTATGAGAAGCTTTTATTTAATTATCATTTAAATAAGCAAGAATTTTCAGTTTGGTTAGATATTAAACTATAAAGTAAAGTAATTTTAGAAAAAACTTTATTGAAGTTTCGAAGGAAAATTAGTTTGCTTTCAGCTTACTACTGCCCTGAGATGCCGTTCTCTTTTAGCATTCGTTCCATGTTCGAGATTTTTTTTGATTCAGCCAAAATTATTTGGTACTTTTCATGAAAGTATTTACTTAAAATTGAGAAAAATGCAAGTGATTATGATTGCTAGCCATGTTCATCAACAAAACATTTGTTGGGTTTAAAGGATCAAAGCGAAACAGTTTGAAATTATAGTCAAGTCCATTCTATGAAAAATATTAGCAGTCCACACCTGAGAAATGGTTCCTTATACATTTATTGATTTCTGATTATACGGAATTTTCTAGAAGGTTTTCAATGGGCGCTAGAAAACCCAAAAAGCGTTTGTTAAAATATTTGTTTGAAAGATTTTCCTGATTGCACTAAACGAAATTTTCAGACAATATTGTACTATATTTAAGTTTTAAAAAACAATTTTTCGTATCGAAAAAATTGAAATTTTCCAAATTTCAGATTAGCTTTCAAAAGCGGCTGCAGTCTAAAGTCTTGTAACGTTGTTTTGATAGAGGTAGGGCGATGCCATTTCTGAACATTTTCAAATTTTGATAGTTCAAACTAGCGCTACCCTGGAACACTTCGCTGTCGCACATACTCTTTGAATGTATGACAAATTAATCAAGAGCTATCTTTTAATCATAAATTTATTTACTCAATAATTTTTGGGGATACAACAGTTTTGGTTCTACTATTGACATTGCAGTCTTTCTAAGCAAAAGTTCACTTATTTACCGAGTTCCTAGTGAAACGAGCAATTAATACAAAATTTTTTGAATAGGTCAATCCCTGGTCCACTTCCCAGTCATCACAACATTGGAAAACTCTTATATTTTTTGATAGTTGCTTATATCAATATGTAAACTCTCACGAACGCCGATTTACCTCAGCGTTTTTCACAGGAAAAATGAAAAATAAAACAATTGTAAATATTAGTATTTTAAAAATAAGAACGATTTATTGAAGTAAATAATTTAAGACTAATAATCAGGGGTTGATTACCAACACATATACACGTATATATGAAGGTATATACATGTATATGGATAATCCTTTAAAATATTTAATTAAAGATACGTATATAAGTACATATATATAATATTTAAATAATGCGGTACGAAAACAATGAAAAATTACCTCTATCCTTTGACATTTCAACTATGATATAATATAATGAGACTGTAAGAAGTACATTGGAATCAATTGTGATTGAAAGATGCCAAAAACTTGTTGAATCTTTTTCACGTCGCTGTGCTGCTGTAGTAAAAAGTAAGGTTCACGCAACTAAATCAAGTGACATTAATAGACAATGCCCAATAAGAAAGGAGAAATAAATTTGTTGGCGACATTCCAAAGATAATTTTTGACGCAACTAAGTTTTTGACCGCTAAAATTCATTGTAATGTTTTATCATACGAGTATATCTGAGTGAAGTTAGTTAGTCCTCCACTTTTTTTTTGGTTTGGTTTGCTCAATAGTTGTGCTATTTTAGCTTTTCACTTTGAATAATTAAAAAAAAAAACGGAGCATACGCTTATCCGTAAATTAATAGTTATCCTTTTTGCAGAACTTTTTTCAGTTGCCTTATCTCAAGTTTCAATGAGGTTTGTGCTTGCGTCTCAATCAGGTGAATGAAAGTGAGTGTAGCTGAATTTGAAATTAAATCTGCTCTAGTAAAAAAAACTTTTATAGCTGAAGTATTTTTTCTAACGGAATATAACCTTTCCTTTCATAAAAAATGTAATTTGACTAAAATCTAAAAAAACAAAACTTCAGAAGCCATATGTAGCTTCCTGTGCATTTGGCGCATTTCAGAGTTTGCCATATATGGTTTTCTATGCAATTAGGTTGCTTCATGTGAAAGGTGAACAGTTTCTTTTATCATTATAGTATAGGGATACATTGCATTTCTCACAAAAATTTTCCAAGTGGGAAAATGGCCAATATCGTTCACTTGAGTAAAATTCCTTGCCTTTTTTATTGGAACACCTAATTGCATAGAAAGCCATATATGACAAACTCTGAAATACGCTAAATGCGTTGAAAGAAAGAAATGGCTTCAAAAGCAATTTAGTGTAGCGATAGCTTACCATGCTCCACGTGACATTATATAGCCACTAGGCAATGTTTGTATTTTGATGGATTTTTTTGATCGGATATATGTACATATCTTCAGATGTTTTTTGGAAAAGTGGAAGTGTTACTGAACCCTCCTTATATTTTTTTTAATTTTCCTTTTTTTGTTTCGAATACACATATTAATGTTATTTAATGTAAAATTATTTTGGAATAAGATCTTATTTTTACAAAAAAAAAAATTGTTTTTAAATGAAAAGATAGACTCACAATCAATTCCTTATCAAAACCAGTTTTCACAACAACAACAACAAAATTTGGATTGTTAGACTACATCTTTACATAATTAGTAAAATGATCCGAATATTTAGCGAATGACAACAGCTGCTTTTACCATCTTTAAGAGCAATGGTCAATTTTTTTAAATCTCTGAAACGTAAAAATGTTCCTTGATCTTATGATAATACGTGAAATCGTACATACATATCATTTTAGAGACTATAAAAATTCCGTTTTCATCATTTGTGACTTAAAATCTTTCTAATTTCCTATTATATGTTTGCATAAGTGATTGTAAATTGTATAACTATGGCCACTGGCCAAAATAGCTCAAAGGCAAGTTATTTTGCCTTATTAGATTCCGAACCGAAAAAAAAACATAAAAAAGGTGGTGCTTCGTTAGTGTTTCTATTTCCCTTTCTACCCGAAGTTAAATTGGAAAATTCCAAACTTCTTGTTGTTGAGTCTACTGATTCAGCAAAACCTCTCTCTGATTTTTCCCCTTTTACTATTCATCGAGCTATTCAATTAATGTGCAATGATGTTCATTCAATTTACTCTCTTCGCGATGTCAAACGATTACTTTTAGTTAAAAATAACAATGTGGCACAGAAATTTATACAAACAAAACATCTAGTATCTGCTTATAAGTTTAAGAAAATTGTTGATGGTGCCGTGAAAGCTTATGTTGTAGTACTGCTTACTTTTAATCTCTATAAAATTCCCAATAAGATCGACATTGTCGGGTCTAAATTCTTTGTTAGAGAATATTTCGCATCTCCAGTGCATTGTAAACGTTTGCCCGTAAGCGTTAATTGCTTGCTTCTTCTCATCAACGTGTATTCGTACATAATATTCCAATTGCAAGGGCAATCATTCATCGCCATCCAGAGAGTGCAGCAAATTTATTCAAGCAAAAGAAATAAAGAAAATTAAAACAAAAAACAAATACTCGATACGCGAAGCAATAAAAACTTATAGACAATCAGTATTTCCAATAACAAATAAAACTACAAAAAAAAAACAACACCAACAACAACAACTGGCACTACATACATAACAAAAGCTAACAACATTACCACTGACAAAATTTCTACAGATACGAATAACTTAAAAAACGTAAAAAAAATCTACCCCCACTTTTGCTAGTAACACCCCTCATCACAGATTTTCCGTTTTACAACCTAATACAAATTTTTTCGCCTCGCTTTCAATTTATCCACTCCCGTGCTATATTTAACACTTCAGCGTCTTTATCTGAACTTCTTTTTGTTCCACTTATGTCTTCAACTGAAATGGAGTCAGTTGGAAATGATGAAATGCTAGAATTATAAACACAAAATTTTCTCTTAAACATTTGGATTCACAGACAACTTTGGGAATAGTTCAGCCATGTTTGTACAGAAGCATGGTTGGTTTGTATCTGGTTGTGTTTGTTTGTACAAACAAATAAAATTACATACATACATATTTTATCTGTTTATGTTGTTTAAAATCATTCAATGGATTATTATTATTAATATTTTAATAATTACAAAAAGCTATTCATTTCAATTAGAGAAGAAAATACAGATCAATTCAGGAAACTCACTTTCCACAAAATATAAATCTTAATAATCTTTATTATCCCTAACAATATATAAGATATTTCTCGAATTTTCTGGATCTCTCACTTATTTCCCCCAATTGAAGCCTAGAACCACCTGGAAAATTTTCTCCATTTTCAGGGGTAGTGACCATTTTCATATCACTATTTTGATATGAACTGACGGAAATTTAGAAAAATTAAGTATGAAGACTGAATATGCAAGCTGGAATTTATATAAATCAGAAATGTCTGAAAATAAAATTAGTTCATGGAAGCCCCACAAACTTTGTATGTCTCTTGATAATTTAATCAATTATAGGAACTATAATACAAAGTTTAAAAGAGCAGTGAAGGAGTCGAAACTTCTACTCAAATTTCCCCTCCTTCTTCACCTAACAAAATGTGGTATGATATTAAAACTCTAACAGGTGTTCCACGCAATAATATAAGTTGTATTCAACACAACCAGACCCAGGAGAGTCAGTTAGACTCTCTTGACATTGCTAAATATTTCTCAAGTATTTGGTCTGACAATTCTAATGACTAAATCTTTTCAGAGTCTTTCAAAAGAGAAAAAATACTGAAACGTATTTTCCTGTTAACATTTCGTTCTCAGCTAAATCTATAGACAAAAGAATTGAGTTTTGTGAATTATTGTAGAATCTGCTTTGAAACACGCCAAAAGCAAAACTCCTGGTACTGACTGTACCTTTTACCCATTACTTCTAAATTTACCAGAATTAGCCAAATAAAGATTATTTAACCTTTATAGTACAGTTTACGATAAATGCTTATCATATCTGGAAATCTGCTACTATCATCACAATTCCTAAACAAAATAAACCAATTCAGCTTTCCTCCCACTATGGACCGCAATATGCGGCTTATAGAAAAATAATTTTGTAAGTCACACGCAAACAGCTTTAAAAATAAAACATAGTACATTGATTCCTCTTGTTCAAATCCAACATTTTGTGGCAGATTCAATTGAAACCAAAAATCGTGTCAACATGTTGGCAACCAATTAGCCAGAAAGCCTTTTTCTTTGGTATGGCTTTCATTACACATCGACGCTTCCGAGTAATAATACTTTATCTAAATTTTACAGTATTTTTAATGGTATTCCAAGGGATCCTCATTAAAGTCGTTTTGTCTATTATAGCATTTGATAAGCTAAAGTATTATGTATTAAAAATATAAACTAAACTATGAACGCAGATGATTCTGTAATGCATACGAATTTAAAAGAAGTTCTACTAGAAAATACTAAATTATGTGAAGTCTACAATGAATTACTGGGGTATAAGTTGTGGCGCATTAACTTCTATATCCAAATATAAATTACTACAAATTGGTAAAAAAAAAATTGCATTTTTCCTTAACATATTTTTGATAATAATGTTATAGAAATAGTTAACTACCTTAAAATTGTAGCTGTTTATTTTGATAATCGTTTTAATATCTATCTCCAATGACTTACTTCAAGAAAAATCTTTTGTCAAGATCTTATTCATATTCACCCTTATATAATATAACGAAAGCCTTAAAAAGTGGCTACGCTTTGCCTATCTTTTGATGGTGTGCCAATACAAACATTAAATTATTAGAAGCTCCATATCACATCGCAGTTGGTTACTGGCGTAGACATCGCTTACGCGATTATAGCCGAGTTTCCACTCGAGTACTGCATCGAAAACTTTCAAAGCTGGATTATTCGTATCCATCCGGAATAAATGACCTGGCCAGCGTAGCCATTGCTTCTTGATTCACTGAACTATATCAATGTCGGCCTATAACTCGTACAGCTCATCGTTCCAAGTTTGCGATATTCGCCGTTGCCAATGCGCAAAGGACCAAACATTTTACTCAAAACCTTTCTCTCGAAAACTACTAACGCCGACTCAACAGATGTGGTCATTTTCGTTCGTCGGGTGAGGACATTTGCTTCGCTTCTTTTTCGACTCTGGAGAAAGCAGAACTCAAGGAGTGGTTGTCGAGGACAATAATGTCAATATCATCGGCATACGCCAGCAGCTTTAGATTCTTATAGAAGAAGGTACCTTCTCCATTCAGCTCTGCACCTCGTTTTATTTTCTCCTCCAATAAGTTAAAAAAGTCACACGGAAATACCCTGTCTAAAGCCTTGTTTGGTATCGAACGGCTGGGACGGGTACTTCCCGATCCTGACTAAACTTATAGTATTGTTTAACGTGAGCTTACATAGCCGTATAAGTATTGCGGGGATATCAAATTCAGACAAGGCTGCGTAAGGGCAGCTCCTATGTATGCTGTCGAAGGCGGAAAAAAGTCGATCCTCTTTTCACGGGTCTTTTCCAAGACTTGGCCCATGGTGAATATCTGGTAAATGGTTAACTTACCAGGTCTGAAGCTACACTGTTAAGATCCAATCAGTTTGCTGGCGGTGGGCTTCAGTCTTTCACACAATACGCCTGATAGGACTTATAGGCGATACTAAGGAGGCTAATCCCACGAAAATTGGCGCAGACTGCGGGTCAGGTTTTTTGTTTTTTGAACTTAGGTTCCAATCGTAGGGCATGCTTTCATCCGACCATCTTCTGCAAAGTAGCTGATGCATGCACCTTGTCAGCTCTTCACCGCCATGTTTGAATAGCTCTGCCGGTATGCCGTCAGCTCCCGCCGCTCTGCTGTTTTTCGATTCGGGTCTCGGGTTTACCATTTCCGGATTCTCCATTTTTACAGCTATTCAGCACGCTGGAGAAGTGTTCCCTCCATAAATTTAATATACTCTTGGCATCGGCGGATAGATCACCTCTTTGTGTCCTGCAAGATTCTGACTCGGTCTTGAAACCTTCTCCAAGTCTTCGTACCCTTATCAGCCAGCTTCTCAAGTTCTTCGTAATCACGCTTTTTCTTTTTCTTTTGCCTGCAGCTGCGTCTTCAGCTCTCGGTATTTATCCCATCTCGCACGTGTTGTGGTCAATCGCAACGTTAGTCGGTAGGCAGTCTGTTTTCTATCCACTCCGACACGGCAGTCCTCATCGTATCCACTGAGAATTTTCCGAAAGCTTTTGCTTTCGTTTGCAGCTGTGCGTAGGGAGTTTAAAATGCCGTCACAGTTCTCTAATACCGGGTTGCTGATGATTGTTTTCAGAGAGCAGGTATGCAAGTTAAGTTAAAAACCTCTCGGCAGTCTTTTGTGATTGCAGCTTATTGACGTAGAACTTTCTTTGTGTTGTTGAGGGGCGTTCCATCTATCACAACATGATCGATCTGGTTTTGTATTTGTCGTTTTTTTGATTGATGTATTTTTGTGCTGAAATATGTTACTAGAGACAAGCATATTTTGGGCCCGGCGAAGTCGATCAGCACCAACCCATTAGGGGATGTTTCGTTGTGAAGACTGAATTGTCCAACAGTCGCATCAAGATAACTTCATTGCCCACTCTGGCATTAAAGTCGCCAAGAACAAGTATGTTTTAGGTGCTCATAAAAGCATATCAGAATTGTGGCGAGACGTTCAGCCCTCGGAGTGACTGACAGTACTCGACGACGGAGTCTCTCTCCCACCACAAAACCAACACTAAATTTGTGCTTCTTTATATGGACGCTGTAGTAAATTTCACAGGAACCTATCGGGTGTCGAAACCGATTCTACTTGGTGGATCCCAAACCCAGCCAGGACAGTAAGCTTAAAGCTTTTACATATCTATATAGCGGGTCGTTTGCTTCAAGAACGACGCCCGCTCGCAGCCGCACCTCTGTTTAACAGACGCTGCAAATAAACTTCAGCAAACCTTTATACCGAATAGGTCAGAGTGGCTCCATTGAAACTTCCTCTCTCATTAGCCGTAACTCAAGGCTCCACACAGGTTGGCTACCGCATCTTGCACAAGGGTTGCTTACGTTTCCAGAGTGCGCGACGTGGACGCAAGGCTCCACATATGTTGGCTACCGCATCTTGCACAAGGGTTGCTCACGCTTCCAGAGTGCGCGAGGTGAACGCAAGAGTAGGATTTGAATATATCCTCGCAACTGTAACAGCATAACTAACTAGATCTCATAACAGGCCACAGTCGTCTAATCATAAATGCCTTCCCAATTAATTAAATTTAAATTAATATTCTATAACTTTTGGATATTGGTCGCACGGGGATTTGAACCCGAGCCTTCTGAATGGCAGTACGAAGTGCTGACCACTCGGCTACCGCGGCCGCTATGCAACACGTAATAAAGAGTAAATGTAAATTGATATTTTGCACTGCCAGCATTTCTTATTTTTTTACAACCAATAATATTTACAACTATTCCTCAAATTAGAGATTTCTGTGTTAAATATGAAAACACAATTTCATTACATTAGGCTCCTGGCCATGTTGGTATTGGGTTGCCCAAAAAGTAATTGCGGATTTTTCATATAGTCGGCGTTGACAAATTTTTTCAACGGCTTGTGACTCTGTAATTGCATTCTTTNATTTGATTAAAGTCCATTCTAAGTTTTATTAAAAATGCATTTACTTTCTTTTAAAAAATCCGCAATTACTTTTTGGGCAACCCAATATAACTGGCAATGAAAATGCTGACAGTATCTCAAGGTATATTGAAGCAGCACCAACTTTCCAATTAGAATTTTTTGGTCAGAAAGACTTAGCCAAACTCATTCTTAAACACGTACAGCAAGAAAAAGTAGTGGTGTAACTAAATTTCATTCATAAATAAGCCATTATTAACCCTTATCGCTGTAAGACAATTTACTCCAGTAACACAACAGCCAAAGGCTAGGAAATAGCAAGATAACACATTAACATCTATTATCCGGTTCGGCGTGGCTCCTGTCCATTTTGCTCCAGTATGGCCTCCGTTGAACACTTCTTTTCTGAATGTCAAATTTTGGAGAAATTAAGGCATAAACACTTTGGGTCATAACAAAGATTTTTAATGTAATCTAAAAAAACTGTGTATAAACAATATTACTATAACAAGATTTTATATTATGTGAATTAGTTATATTTTTTAAGTCGATTCGATGACCTTTGTTGTTTGAACTCTTTTTACATAGTTAAGATTTATATTCTAAAATATATCATTTAATAAATAAATAAATATTTTTGTTATTATTTTTTGTCTTATATTATTACTGCATTAATAATATTTGGTGTTTTCAGGTAAAACATGATCCAATAAAGTTATTTTCGTTTAGACTTCTCCATATTTCACCTTAAATATCAATAGTTGGGGTATAAAAAAATATTTTAGACCATTCAATTTTTTTATTGTTAATTTGATGTGAATTTCATTTATGCATTAGAAATTTTAATGCTGAATTACTTACGCTAACGGAAAATATGTATATGCATCCATTCCTTTTCTAATACAATTATGCGATTGATCGGCCTTTCAGGAATGTACGTCTGCTATATCCACTAAAGCCTTGTAGTTTTTATGACAAAATCGATGTATTACAACGCGATGGGTTAAAGTGGAAATTCAAATTAAGATGAATGGTTATCTGCATAAAAAATTTGTGTGGTATATTTTTTGTACACGTTAACGTATGTTGTGTTTGTTTACATTTTTAAATAAAAGTATGTACGAGCAAGCTTTTGCTGTTAAAGTGAATTAAAGTTTTTCAATGTTTTTTTTTTTTTAAATTTTCAAAAACACACCAAAGGTATTTGCTTATGCTTTTTAAAAAATTCCTAGATATGCATATATGCACTTATTCATTTATGCGTGAAAAAATTTGCCTTTTATGTTCTGGCACATATGGAAGTAAAAATAGAATAACTAAATTACATTTGATATCACTATTATGAGATTTGGGTCATTTGCCGTCGGTTAAACGTGTTTAGATTTGCACTTAGCTTATAATTTTGCGTGGGTAGGATAAATATAACATTTGCCTTGTGATTTTTTTACATAAAACTTACATTTCGATTTGTCAATTAAACATTTCTAACTTTTACTATTTTACACTAAATAATGTAAAAGAAAATTGTTTTATACTTTTGTTTTATGAAAACTTTATAAAAAGAACTTTAAATCGATGAAAAAGTATTATATAAAAAACAAAAAAAAATATGATCTCATCACAATGTTCAAGTGTAAATGGCAAATTAAGTTTTAACTAGTCACAGTATAAGAAATTTGTGTATATGTATGTGATAAAATGTGTAAAATTAAGCGCGAGCGTGCACTTTATTCTTATGTTTCAGCCGTACTGAATATCAGCAAGTCGAGCATCGATTCAGGCGCAAACAACTCGTGTCTGCAATATTTGCTTACTATAGGTAGAACAGAGAGTGTTTCAAGCATGGACACTCATATGTAACAAATACAACTACTACAATGTTAAAGATAGCAGGCAGTTCAAATGCAAACATACTGTGCAGCTACACCATGTTCAAGAGAAGCAAACGTTTAGGTTGTTTAAGAGTGGGAGAACTGAGCAGACATGATCATTTGCTCTTCAATTTGGTGGGCTATTAAAGACATCGGCGGCAGAAGATATGTGCACCTAACAATACATGCACTTAACCCAGTAGCAATATGAAAGGCCTTAGAGATATGCCTGAATTCATCGCTAAAATGTAACGCGGAGCAATGCAAATGTAAAGCCTCCTAAGAGTAGTGTTCATTTGTGTCTTTTTTAATGTATTAGAACCTTAATTCTACGCTTACTAAGAAAGGTGGCATTTCCGGTACCTAACTGTGTATCTCATGCTAGATAATACTGGTTCATCTATGGCCTATTTTATTTTGACATCTTATTACATGGCGATTTCGTATTTCATTATTTTGTGTTTTATCCCCTTTTTAATATTAAAAATG